TTGTATTATAACAAAACTGTAGTAGAAATTAGCATAATTAATATGTTATACCCCTGCTGGGTTCCAGGGCAGAGCCCATAACTTGTACGTATAGTAATTTTACACAGAAAGTTGACTGGAGTTCTTGCTATTGAATAATGTGTTGGTCCTAACCACATCAGTATGAAATTAGAATAATTATACATTTTACAGTGTATTTATATACATCCTAATAAAACTGTATGAGTGTTTTCCTGCAGAAACACAAACATTGCTTTGTCTGCAGAATTTATATTTATGTTTTGAATGAGGAAGACATTACAGTTGCAATACAATTCAAAACACGATGGTTAGGAGGCCCCAACCCGAGGGAGCTAACAATCTAACATCACAAAATTGTTTATTCTGCAGCACATATCACAAAATATAGGACAATTCAAGACACTTTAAAAGATACTCATTAAAAGATACTTTCAATCTGAAAGGGCAAATTTTATCCTTAGCTGAACAGCTTCAAAGGTTAGAATTTATGGTCCCTACACTTATCGTTATATGATAGAAATACAGCATGCCATTTCTACCTTTAGTAAAGGCACTTACATTGCCAACTCCCCAGGCAACATATGTACAATGGAAATCAAGTGTATTATTTCAGCAGCGGCGATATAATAAATGTAGTACGTTTTACAAATAATACACACCTGTGGTCATTTGAAATCCCAGCAAAGCCCAGAATAAAATAAAGAAAATGTTTTGCCTAACATTCCTTTGGTGTTTAAGTCAAATACTCATGTTTGGATATATTAGCAAAGTAACCCTTTAGGAGATCACTTACTGCAGCCAGTGTTTAGCAATACAATTTCATGGTAAATTTTGTGGTTCGTCATCTGAATATACTCACCCCTCGAGGATTAATGGGGAAGCGGTGAATGGTGTCTCTCCATCAATGCACGGTCCAGAGAAAGGCCTGAAACAGAGGGGAGGAAAGGGAAGAGAGAAGAAGGGCGAGAAAGACAGGACAAGACAGATAACATCACATAAACACAACAATAGTGTGTTGCAAATCCACGGAATGCCGGGGACGTTGAGTGGAGGGGTCGCGCGGACCTCTGTCCACTTAAGGTAACCGTAATGAGGAAGGCACAGTGGCATACCCACCCATACAAACCATATACAGGTAATATATCAATAGAACAACTCCTAGCTGGGATCTTGGTAAACTGTCATATAACGTGGGTTAACAATGTAGATCCTTCGCTCTAGGTTATAGGAATCCAAAGGGGGAAGGGGAGGGGGGTAACACGGTCCTTAATTGTGGGCATAGCCTCTACCAAATCAATATGCGTACTACAAGGGTATGCCAATGAAGGGGCCATGAGTAGCGGGCATAGTGGATAGGAAGCAGGACCCAGTGTGGGGTATGGTTACTATGAATGTGGGGCGTGAGGACGTTCAGGGGGTATGAATAAAGCTTCCAAACTCAGGCCTGAAATGAGGATCAAAAAATTCTGAATAGGATGTGGGTGGTAGACGTGAGGGGGTGAGATTAACTGTTCCAAGTAGTGAAGCGGATGGAGTTCTTTAATGTCGTTGAAGCAGCTCTTGAAGGGGATGTTAGCGGTGCCTGGAAATGGGGATATTGCTCCTGAATTGAGATAACAGAAGGAAATAGAACAGTTCTGGTCACGGTGTCTCACACAGGATCGGTCTCTAGAGATAGGGGATAAATCCCTCCAGGAGAGGATGAACAAAAGGCAACAGCCAGCCTAGGTAGGCCCGAAACTCAATCAACGCACCGTGGTTGGTTTAGATGTCATCTTGACTACAGGGCCTCGTGATTCCCCCGAATGGTTGTGGTCCGAGTCACTCCGGGATCTCTTAGAGGAGGCATTGGGGTTGTCCCGGGAACTTGAGGGTGTCAGGGGAGACTCCGATAGGCCTAGAGACGCCAGCTTAGCTTGGGTTTCCTCTAGGGTCACACAGGTATGTTGCCTACCCCCATGGGAGAAAAGCAGACGAAATGGGAATCCCCATTTGTATTGAATGTGGTGTTTGTTGAGGATGTCCAGACAGGGCCAAAGCGCTCTTCGCTTAGTAATAGTCGAGGGAGCTAAGTCCGCAAATAGTTGATATTCATGGCCCTGGAAGGATAGTGGAGCTTGTGCGGCCTTGGCCCTGGCTGCCACTGAAAGAGTTTCCTTGGTGCGGTAGAAATGGAGTTTAACGAGCACATCTCTCGGTGGACCATCCGGTCGTTTCAGGGGGAGTTCTGGGGCTAACTCCTGGAAGAGTGCCGTCGTGGTAGCATTTAGATCTGTGATCTGCTCAGGTAGGCCTCTTATGCGGAGATTAGAGCGGCGGGACCTGTTCTCCAGATCTTCTAATTTGGAGAGTAACTGTCAATTTTCTTCATGTAGAGAGCTCACCTCACCGGTGACTACGGAGAGATCCACTTTGATGTCATCACAGCGATCCTCAAGGGCCGCAGTGCGGTGGCCTATATCGCGGATCTCTTTCAGAAGCCTGTCAGTTATTTGTTTGGAGGTGGTGTGTAGGGCCTTCTGTAACATAGCTTCAAAGTGTTGTAATAGTGCTGATTGCGATCTATTTCTAGATCTCTCACCCTCTCTGCCTCCGTGATCTTCCTCCTCCATCTCACTGCTGGATTCTGAGGCAGCCGGGCGCGCTGGAGAGTGTGTTGCGGTCGCCATTTTGGATGCGATCCAGGCCGTTTCGGTAGCCGGCTTAATTTTGGCCTTCTGTGTGTTCCGGGGGCCCGAGGAAGACATCATCAATGTCGGGAGGATTCCGCTGTCTCGATGGGTATATGAGGAGTGTGGGGAAGCGCGAGGCTTCCGGCTTAATTAAGGTTTGTCCGGGCGGGCAGCGGAACTGTCTCAGAAGATGTCTGTCATGACGGCTGCGCACATGCGCTCCGGCAGCAATACAATTTCAATAGGTAAACACACATTAAAATTACAGGTGTACCTTTAAAAAAAAAAAAAAAATTCAGTTTGGGCCCCTTATCCTAGTATACTCAAGGACAGACCTCAGATTTAGAGCAATCCCCCTATATTGCCTTCAACAATAGTTTTAAAGGTACTCAATTTTTTTTATATTATTACCTTCCAGATTCGTTTGTAAATGCTTGGTGCCTAGAGTTAAAGGAGAACTATGGGGTTAGGGCTTTTCCCCATAGTTCTCCTTAGGGTAATGGGAGGACACAAACCCTACTCCTCCTGTCACCCTTAGCTCAGTATACCGCGAGCTGTACGCCGCAGTATACCGCAAGCTACGGCTCGCGGTATACTGAGACGCCACAGCTGAAGCGGATCCCGACAATTATGTCTGGATCCGCCCAGCTGCGTGAGTGACAGCTGGCTCTGCCTATCTAGAGGCAGAGCCAGCTGTACCCGCTCCCTCCCCCGTCCGTTCTGCCAGTCAACGCTGGAGGATTGGAGCAGGGAGGGGGGAATCCAGCCCCTCCCCTGTCACGGCAGAGAGCCGTGACAGGATCGAGAAGTGAGCGAACGCCGGTATGTGTTCGCTCACTTCCCGATCTACTGAGCCGACCTGTGAGTCTCATTGTCACAGGTCGGCTAGAACTATGAGGTGAGTGAAAAGCACTCACCTCATAGGTCTCCTTTAACCATAGCATTAAAGGGTGGTTAAGTGATGTATTAATCTGTGTATCAAAAGATTGTGCCTCCAGCGCTCACACACATATAGATGTCCAATCCATACTCATGTGTACATGCATGTGTTCATGTGCTGCTTTTATATTAAACAAGAATGTGTTAATGAAAGTTAGCAAAATGATGTGTGGTTGCCTGCCCATAGCAGTCCTTCTGCCCTAGGCCACGGTCTATGTTAACTATGCAAACATTTTGACCTGATTACAGGACAACAAAATATACATATCTTCCCAGGGCATAGTGGATCCCCATTTGAAATGAATATACTGAAGTTATTGTTGCTTTTACCATTCATAAACCTGTACAGTATTAATTTCATAATAGGAATAGCAACTAAGCCATTGTTTTCTCATGTTCATTTTCAGAACTTCACCGCAGTGAAAGCGCCCAGGAGAAAAATGTAAAGGAAGCTAGAACCAAATGCAGAACTATTGCATCCTTATTAACTGATGCTCCAAATCCCCACTCAAAGGGGGTTCTTATGTTTAAGAAGAGACGGCAAAGAGCAAAGAAATATACACTTGTGAGTTACGGAAGTGTAGACGAAGATTATATTGAAGACGAGGACGGTGTCCTTCCAACAAGTGAATCGGAATTTGATGAGGAAGGCTTCTCTGATGCACGCAGTTTAACAAATAATTCTGATTGGGACAGCACATATCTGGACATTGAAAAGCCAAAGATGGAACATGAACATCCAGAAGAAAAGGGTTTGAGTGAGGCATCTGGCAAAGGTGCTACATTGTTTGAACTGCAGAGGCAGAGATCGGAACAGGCTGCTGAAAATATTCCAGCACAAAATCAGACTATTCAAAAAACCCCCATTGCCCCTCCTCGGAAGTCAATGGTCAATGGGAATGCCAACCATCAGGTTAATTTAGAAAGAAATCAGCAGGCTCAGGGCTCAGAAAACATCAAGGTGGCAAGTGCACAGATATCACTAGCACCTGCTCACACTCTGGTTCCACAAGCTGGTAATATCCAGTCACCAGTCTCTGGATTGCCGATCTTCAATAGGTCTGCACGACCATTTACTCCAGGTCAAGTTGGACAACGGTCTGTAGCCTCATCAGTCATGTTCAACCCTATGCCGCAAAAAAAACCTGAAAGTGCACTAGTCCAAAATATTGCTCCACCGCCATTCACACCATTTACACCAGATGTATCTATAAGTGCTCAAAAAACTACACCAGTTAGCTCAGTTGCATCTCTTTATATTCCAGCAGCAGGGACTCCACGGACTACTACTGCTTCAATATATCTGTCATCTCCTTCACGTCCATCAGGACCTCCAGTGATTACTTCCCAAGCAAATGTTACAGCTAACGCTCCGGCAACCCCTGTGAGACCTACAGCATCACAGTATATTAGTCCTGCAAGTCACACATCCTCTTACTTGTCACCAGCAGTCCAATCACCAGTATCTGCAACTTCAAGAGAGCAGAAAATATCTGTGCCTGCTGGGCGCACTGGGATCTTAAATGAAGCCCGAAAAAGAGGGGGTAAGAAACAGATGTTTGTTAAAAAAGAGGAGAAGAAATACCAACCTAACCCAGAACTTTTGAATATGGTTCAGAACCTTGATGATAAACCCAAACATGAGCAACATGCTACAGGATTTGAGTCTGGCCCAGAAGAGGATTTTCTGAGCTTAGGAGCAGAAGCTTGCAATTTTATGCAGCCTTCAGCACGTAAAAATAAAGTTCCTCCACCTGTGGCTCCAAAACCCATTTTAAAAACATCTGTAGATGAATTTGTGAATGGATGTCAAGATTTACCCCAATTGAAAGGTAAAGGCGCAGAGTTATTTGCAAAACGGCAAAGCCGTATGGATAAATTCGTGGTAGACTCAGAAAACAGATCTCAATCTAGACCTAATTCAAGGCCAAGAACACCTTCACCAACTCCATCTCTCCCCTCCTCTTGGAAATATTCATCAAATATTCGTGCTCCCCCTCCAATTGCATACAATCCTTTGATGTCTCCATTTTATCCATTAGCAGCCTCCAAACCGCAAGGAGGCAAGGTGGAGAGCAAAGTGAAAAAAGGTGCTAGTGGTAAGCCAAGAATGCAAGCTATTGATTTTATGCGTCATCAGCCTTATCAGCTCAATCCAGCAATGTTCTGTTCTGCTAATTCTTCTAGCCAGAATGCCCAAAAACCGGATCTCTCTGTGAGTCCAGGCAGACAAGTTCCTGTGAAAACTAGAGCTCATGAGATTAAGCGCTTCTCAACTCCAACCCCAATGTCATCATCTGTAAACATGACTCCAACCGTGCTTATGCCCCGATCTGCAACTACACTTGCAGAACCAGTTTGGAGAACTGATTTGACAAGCCAGTATACACCTGCCAATATTTCTGGCCCTGCACCTTATCATCCTCCTGTCCTGGAATCTCCACGAGAGTATAATCGTGCCGCTCCACTTCTAAGTCCTACAAGTTCTGTCCCCTCCCCCAGAGCACCAGTTTCTAGAATCCAGGTACCAAAACCCAGGTTCTCTGCAGCCAAAACAGGAATGCAGCCTAATGTGTGGAGGCCAGCCCGAGTGCACTTCTAATTTGCAAATCATCATCTCTGATGTTCTTTGTCCTTTAGTAAAAATGTTGTTGAAAGTTCTGTTTGCTTAGCTGTTTTATAACATGCATAGGCAGAATAACGCCTTTGCCATCCTTGCATTCTTTTGAAACACCAATGCACACTGTACACCAATGTAAAAAAAAAAACAAGATAAAATATACAGTACATGGATGGCCTGGAGTACCTGTTGATAGACTATGGATGGAAAAATGAAGATGAACTGTAACCTGAAGTAAAAAATATAAAGGCAAATCAGAAATGAGTCCATTTTGAAATGTACAGAACGTAACAGGAATGTAATGGAAAACTGTTTAAAGAATGAGCATGCACTGAAAAGGGTTATAAAAAATGTTGACATTATGTCTACTGTAGAAGATTGGTGCAGCTTCAACACATAAGGGGCATAATTAAGGAATATGTTTTCTGTCATACCACCATGCAAACTTACAGTAGATGACGTGTGATCGGTGACCACAATGGATTTTTAACACGCGTGCACAAATAACTTATGTGAATACGGCATGCATGAAAATTCTGCATCTGTTCCCACGTTACAATATTGGACCAGTTTAGTGCTCATCAACTAAACTGAATTATCAAGTAACCATATTGTTGAGGTGGTGCATTCTTTTTTTCAGTTCCTTATGAATCATCGCTGGACAGAGAACTGCATGTTACCCTGCTTGAACTTGGCGTGCATGTCTAATTAACACATTTTGCTGCATCACAATATTTTGTGCTTCATTCATAAAATATATACGATGTATTTGTGTACAGTTTATTGTGTTATTTAAGGAGAGCAAATGTCTAGTTTATACATGTCCTGGGGCTTTTTTTTTGAATGACTTAGAGCAAGATTATTTTTTGCAAGTATGGTAATAAAAGATCAGCTTTTAATATCTATTGTAGTCACACTAACGAACGCTGCTTGGCTGCTGTAGGTTTCAGCAGAACTACATTTAGTAAGTTGGTGCTGTCCACCTTTTTCTTTAATGCCCATAATACTAGAGTTATAAGGATATAAGTATTAAACAGGCATTAATGAATTGAGTGAGTATTGCTCAGCCCCTAGTTCTTAACCCTTATGCCAGTCCTGAAAAAGTGAATTATTTATTTAGTTTTTTTCTAATTTAACCTAATTATTGTTACATAGCACTGAAAATATGTATTCTTTAGGGATGAAGCTAACTGCCATGGTTTCCTGGTGGATACCTAGGATTTGAAAAGTTTGCAAAGCACAAAACTTTTCAGGTTTGCAGCCAGAAATCAGGAGCAACCTATAATACAGAGCATAGTCTTTGGCCCCCCTAGACTATAGACATAGACTTCAATGGGATTCACACAACTATAGGCAAGATTCTCAAAACTGTTCATAAACCCAAAACCAGGCAGATTTACTCATATAGCTTGAATAATTCCTATTTTTTATAAAGTAATTACAGCCGAATTCCAGGCAGATGTAAAATAAACCACAAGTCAGTGCTGTTTTGTATTCAATTGTACATCCTCTTATGTATTATTTTTTTTATTTTTGCTGTGTACCTTTCTGCCTCTTGCAGTCCCTGAACAGCAAAGCTCAGACTAGGGGAGGGAGAAACAGCATAAGGAGTGAATCAGCTGTACTGTAGTGTAAGGAGTATGCTGAGTGAAAGAGAGATTAGCTCATTAGTCTGCTGCTTCTCCTTTCACTGTCCAGTCACAGAGTCACAGGCTGGGAGATGGACAAAACCTATAAGTGTTACTGAACTGCAGCAGAGAAAATTCAGGACTCCTGCCCTGGTAAACAGTATGGTGTGGTGTGGCAGGTAAAATAGACACCTTACATGTCTTTTTTCCTACGTATTTTCTTTGTTAGCCTGGATTTCAGCTTTAAAAAATTGTTTTTTTTATGGCTGAGAGTAAATTTGGTCTAAAATGTGAGTTGCTGTGAACTGATCTGTTACTAAAAAATAATGTGACTACAATGGGCTCTCCTAGTCATTCAATTGCTATGGGTAATATTACCACTGTAAATCATAATTAAAGCATACAATATTTTCCAGTTGCATGTGATCATTCCTGGCTTAACACTGCTTGCAAGTTGCACATATTGCAAGATGACTTTGGCACAGGGAGTTTTATTTTTGATTACCGCACGCTTTAATTGATCATATGCTGTTTTGACATCCTCTCAGCTGTTTTATACATTTAAAAGACATATGTAAGCTGTCATTGCTGACCTTTACTTCCTAAAATGCCTGGCTGATATGCTACACGGTTGGCTAATTTGCATACAAGCATCCATCCCAGCTTTAAAAACTAATTCAAAATTGCTACTAGTTTATATACCGTATATACTCGAGTATAAGCCGAGTTTTTCAGCCCATTTTTTGTGCTGAAAAATGCCCCCCTCAAGCCTAGGGTGGGAAATATTTTTTTCCCAGTTTTTTGTGGTAAAATTAGGTACCTCGGCTTATATTCGGGACGGCTTATACTCAAGTATATACGGTATACAGAGCTTAATAGCTGTGCCATTGGAAACTATACAAGCATTATTTTTTTTAGACCAAACTTCTAAACTTTTAGCTGAATTAAAATGGAGGTTCTGCGTTTGGATATTGTAATTTCTGTTTAATTGTCTCATGTAGTTAAAAGAAGGTTTTGCTTTGCACCACAAGGAATATACTAAAGATATGTAGAAAGGGTCTGCATTGCCCCCTAGTAGCTGGGCTCTTGCTTCCCTGAGTTACACACTTAAAGGAGGAAGTCTTCATTCAGGCATTTCATACGTGAGGATCTGATCATGTCACTCTGTAATTGGTGGTATTCCATAAAACATCTGAAATAGTTTTATCCCCTCTCTAACCTTCTACAGTAATATACTGGAATGGTATTCATAATCAGGACAGTTTGACCAATTAACAAAGGTTTGGAGGGATTGCTCTGAATAAGAATAAACAATACCAATAGATATACATGCTGTGAAAGTAATAGTGATGTTAAGGGACATCATTTGGAAGCTGATGATGTCCATCCGATCATTCAAGTCTTCGGACCACTAGAGAAGCTGTTTGATACTTTGGAACTCAGAACTGGAAGAAGTTTTTGACTATCGAGCCATGTTAAACGAAGAATTTGTTTGGGAAGAAATGTAGGAAATGAACAGTGAACTTGGAGCTGCTTTTTTGGTTTCCACTCCTTTTTTTATTAACATCAATTTCTAACACCTTGGATTTCCAGAAATGGAGGTTGTTTCAATCCGAATGAGACCTCTTAGTTCTTAGATTGCTTTTCATACCCAAAAATGTTTCTGGAAGCCGAAATCGAAGCTAAACTGGAGAAATAGAAGGTTATTAAGAGATGCATTACTTGCTGCCTACTGCTACTAGAGATAGATTTATAAATTAATCAATAAACGTTTGTCCAAAGGAAAGCAGTTTGTTTATTTTTGAAAATATATGAACTGATCCTGGATTTTCTGGGGAACTTGTACTAACAAAAAGGTTTAAACAACAGGAACAAATACACACTTTAGAAATCATTGCCTATGTCCCATGGAGACAAATTGGGGCCATCCATTGTGCAGCTGTAGCGGGAAACAGCTTTTGGGAAACCAGCAATGGACTCCGGACACAGACTTCAGGAATACAAATCTTCTTTATTCTCTGCAGAGGACTCAGGTGACTACCGTCTCCAATTCCTGAGTGGCCCTTTAAGGGCGGTCACTACATATATATAACAACAATTACGTCACATTACATATTTCTAATACACATATTTCCTTTACAGCTCTAAGCCAATCAGCAAGCAGCATTTGCAATTTTACCATTTATGGTTTATGTATCCTGTCACAACCTTTTTGTCATAAACTCATGATCGATTACTAAAAGTCTTGCGAGAAGGGGGAGGGGGTCAGTCACAAGTTTCTGCCATCACCATTTTTAGTTGCAAAAGTAAACTCTAGGACAAAAGTCAGACGGCCTTTTACATACTGCTGCTCTCTTTTGCATGTGTGGTTAAAATACAAGAAGGAGCGAGGGGGTCAGAGGCCTCATTATATGTAGATACAAAAAACATGAATTATTTAAATATATTTAGCCATATTATCTGCTGCCACACAGCTACAGCCTCACGAGACACCCCCATTAACCTCTATGGAACATAACTGTACAGGCACAGGCAGCTGTATAGGGTATTGTTGGAAAGGAAGTAAACAAAACCATTATTTGTTTTAATTTTGCTGCCACCAAGAAGACCAGCTTCCCAATCCACTATGGCAGAATCAACTTAAAGTTCCTGAACCTTGTCTGGTCATATCACCCAAAATATGAAAAACAGAAAAACTGGTCCACGGTGCTTAATCTGAGGTATTTAAAACAGATAGACACTCAGTATGAAATGCGCTTGGGCTTCCTTAAGCAGCAAGCACCGTAGAATTAAACAAAGCCATGGCCTAAGGAAGGTATGCCTGCATCTGCAGTCAGCATTAGGTAATATATCCAGGTTCTGAAGGTCAAATGTCAGTAAAAAAGGCACTTTAAAAGAAAGTACACTTATTCTTTATATGTTGCCATAAGACCAAAAATCATGTTTGCATAATTTAAAGCTGTTCCCTCATGCAGCCAGTGGTTCCTTTTAGTTTAGGTTCAACAGGAAATGCTGTCCACTAACTGTTCTTTCTTCACCATTTCCTGTTGAGAAGACCAGTAACCAGAACTGACTAGCTGTGTGCTAGGTCTCCTAAACAACCCATAGCTCTGCAGGGTGTGCCTACATCCAGAAGGGTGCCCTGCACACTCCTCCCCCTTGTGGTGCTAGATGCCATCCCTAGGGGCATACACTTCATATAAAAAACCATATGCTTGTTTTTTAACCCAAAGTGAATAACCTTGCATTTATCAACATTAAACCTCAATCAGCAAGCAGCATTTGCAATTTTACCATTTATGGTTTATGTATCCTGTCACAACCTTTTTGTCATAAACTCATGATCGATTGCTAATAGT